GCTGTGTGTTTTACAGATATAGATACATGCACAAATAAAAGTTGAATCATCATTGCACCACAATCTGTCTTTCTTTTCTCTGGTCTTGTTACTCAAACTACTAATTTTTGACTACTAATCCAGGTTTCTGCACTATTCGCTTCATCTAGGGAACAGTGACTTTTCCCTGACTTTCACTTTCTCTATCTGGGAAATGGGGATAATTGTAATGATACCAACTTCACGGAGGAGGTGTTTTCAGGATTAAATATGGTAATGTATGTAAAATCCCCACAGACAGCCTGATGACAGATGTCAGCTGTTTCAGTGATCAGTTCTGCCAACTTTAATCTTCTAGGGGTTGGAGATGGGAATTTCGGGCAATAGTCTCCTATAGTAAGATTCCACAAAAAGGGCAGACCTAGCGCCCCAGTGCCACGCGTGTCCTCCAGCAGGGGGGATTGTTGCAATTCCTAAGAATTAGGGAGATGGTGCCATTCTCTTCTTGGAGCTCTTTGTTCACTTGTAATTAACAAATTAGAATTATTTGTTTCATGTACATCTTCCCTTTTGAATGTTTTTTTAATTGACTTTCAGAGAGAGAGAGAGAGAGAGAGAGAGAGAGAGAGAGAGAGAGAGAGAAACATAGATGAGAGAGAACCATCAATCTGTTGCCTCCTACATGCCCCCTACTGGGGATTGAGCTTGTAACCTGAGGAATGTGCCCAGACCTGGAATTGAACCAGCCACCTCTTGGTGCATGGGATGATGCTCAAGCAACTGAGCCACACCAGCTAGGGCACATCTTCCCTTTTGGACCATAGACCCCATGATGGCAGAAATGGTGTGTTTTGCCCATTGCTGGACCTGCTGAGGTATTTCTTGATTATTGACTGAAGCAGTATTTCTGATTCTACATAACTGAACAGAGAAGTAGCAAGGCAGTAGAGGATAAAGGGAAAATAGACTTCCTAACGAGTAGGTTGCTTTACAAGGTTCCCCATGTTAAGAGAGCAGCGAGTGAACCTCAAGACTGGATTTGTCCTCTTCCTTGAAGGGGCCTACCTAGAACCAGGTACTGAGCCTTGCAAAGGCTCAGATAAGCAATGTAATAAAAAGCATAAAAGGCCCTTGCCAGTTTGACTCAGTGAACAAAGCATCAGCCTCTCAACCAAAGGGTCCTGGGTTTGATTCTGGTCAAGGGCACATACCTTGGTTGCAGGCTCTTCCCTGGCCCTGGCCCTGGTCAGGGCGCAACCAATTAATGTGCTTCTCTTACACTGATGCTTCTTTCTGTCTTTCCCTCTCTCTTCCACTCTCTCTAAAAAATCAATGGAAAAATAACCTTGAATTATATTTTTATGAAAAAAATCATAAAAAGAAAATCAACGTTTTTTTCTCAGATAGCAATGTTATAGCATCCTAAAATAAAGAGCTTTTGATTATTTTAGATAATCTTTTGTTTAAAGGACTTAGATTCATGAAGAATGTCGAGTTAGAAGAAATTAGGGGCCCAGAAGCTAGGCATCATGGGGTTGTATGCCAGATTTCTCTTGTCCCCACATAAAAATCTTTCACTATTTATACATCTTGTTACCTAAATCATAACTTTAGTGCTGGGATAAGAGATGGGCACCCAGACTTTAGCACTTGACTAAAATGTGACATGACTTCAAGGCTGTTCTGTGCTAAAATATGGTGATCAGCTATAATTGATCTCCAGAGAAATGATGTCTTAGATGAAAAAAACAACAACATAGACTAGAACCAAGGAATTTGTTAAAATGTAGAGTTCAGGGGTACTTATGAAATCGAATCTGGAGATATTTAGGAAGAGGGCAGAGCTCCATTTCCTTAAGATTTGGGTGAATAAAGGACAATTCTATGTGAATGATGGGAAACACTTGTTCTTTGTATTTCAATGGGAATAGAAAGCCATACGGGGAATTCCAGCCCCTCCTTGGAGCTCAGAGCAGCGGTCCCTTTGCAGAGTCCTGTCCAGTGGCAACTCTATCACTGTGGCCTATTAGACACTCAGAGGTGAAGCTAACCTGGGACTCCTGCCAAGCCTACCTGAATTCCTGTGTGAAGGCCTAAGGTTAGGTGCCTTGACATCGAGGAGATGTCAAAACAGGGCCACACTGGTGCATCTTCTCCAAAAACAGATTTAAAAACAGAACTAAAAACCGGGCAGAATGGTGGTGAGCAAGGTCATTTCAAAACCCGAGGGACCTCCCGTGCTTCCTCCTCCTGGGACCTGCTTGGTCAGTGCAGGCGGAAGCCCTGCCCCACTGGAGCCGACCACCAGGACATTTGGTGATGGGCGGGGAGGGTGGGGACATTTGCACATGGCGCGCCCTGCACCGGTAACAGTAGCTGCTAGAGAGAGGAGGCCAGCCCTGATGGAGAAGGCAGTGGTGAAGTGTGGCATCATACTCAGCCCCACCTCCCGCTGGGCCCTAGCTGTGGTAGCAACTTTTCATCTGAGTTGGAATAAAAGTATTAAGGGCCAGAGACAGTGGAATGCAGCAACAAGGGGCAAGCGGGGGTGGGGGGGGGGTAGGGGTGGTGGGGGG